TCCACAGGAACGGGCTTCGCAGCCGCCCCTGCAGCACCACTCGGCAAAGCTGCTTCTGGTTTTGGTGCAAACACTACTGGTGGATTTGGTGCAAACACTACTGGTGGATTTGGTACTAACACTACTGGAACTACTGGTGGATTTGGTGCTAACACTACTGGAACTACTGGTGGATTTGGTACTAACACTACTGGTACTACTGGTGGATTTGGTACTAACACTACTGGAACTACTGGTGGATTTGGTGCAAACACTACTGGAACTACTGGTGGATTTGGTGCAAACACTACTGGAACTACTGGTGGGTTTGGTGCTAACACTACTGGAACTACTGGTGGGTTTGGTGCTAACACTACTGGAACCATTGGTGGGTTTGGTGGAACGTCCACTGGTGGATTTGGTGGGCTCGGTACTACTTCGGCAATCGGAGGACAGACGCAGGTGCCGCCTTATAAGGGTATTAAGGGACCAGGATTCTCTACTGATTGGGCACGAAGTGTGAACTTCTCTACGCTTCGTGATGATGTGTTGTTTGAAGACTTGCCCCTGCCATTACAGCAGCACCTTCTGGAACTACACAGTTTTATTCAGGCAGAACAAGACGCCAAACGTTTCCTGGAAAGTTTCTTGACGGATTCTTTGGGATCAAGTGGTGGTGATGGCTCGACCAGCTACAGAGAACTTCTAAAAAAAATCGCTAAACTCACAGTTGGGGAAAACGCCGTGGACGCCATTCGTGTGGACTGCTTTGAACGAGAAGTTTCTGCCCAGCACCTCGGTCAACTTCTGGAGAAGTGTGAAGAAGAAGTTACCCAATACTCAAAAAATGTTTGGGAACCACTATCAGACCAAGACTTTACACAACGGCGCCTTGGGAATCGATCAGAACCACCATCTGAACCATTTCAGCGTTGCCTCCGCGATATTCAAGTTCGTATGGAGGATATTTCAGCAGCAGTGAGAGAACTGGAACTTGCGGTGTTGCCTGACGGACAACGACAGAGGCGTGTAACAAATACCGACGGTAACACAGCTAATACTATCAATACAGAGTCTTCTCCCTCGGCTGCATTGTTTTCACGGTACTCTGTTGGCCCAGAGACACTTGAAGTTTCTTCTGATTTAAGGTGTGCGGTGTCTTCCCACCCAATTCTCCAAATGAACACAACTCTTAGTAATGAGTTAACAACACTTTTAAATTTGGCTGCGTGGACGTCTCGGCTGCATACGAGAGCTGATGCTGCTCGTGATCTATTTGCTCATTTATATGGAGCATCAGAAGCTGAGGTTCTGCTGGCGCAGAAACATCAGCAGTCTCCCACTGGACCGAAGAGACCATTTTCATTGCACACAAAGACGTCTCCATCACCCTTTTCAGATGTTGAATACAAAACAATTGGGGATATTCATAGACGTTCCATTGGCCTGGACCCCTTAGGAGCCCTTGGAAATGGAGACCGTAAGATGCAATATGATGTGTTGCTTGAACGTCAACATCAAGGATCAGCACCAAAGACTGTTTCTACAACTAACGTTGGATTTGGCGACCCTAAAACGTCTTCGGGGATAACTGCTCCTGGGTCTGCACCTGTACCTGCACCTGCACCTGCTCCTTCCGCTGCTGTTGCTGGTACTGGTGGTCTTCTTAATGCTGGTGCTACTGCTACTGCTACTGCTGGTACTGGTGCTACTGCTACTGCTACTGCTACTGCGGCACCAGCTGCTTCCATGGGTTTTGGCTTACCTGCGTCATCCACAGCTGGAGTCGGTAGTGGGACTACATTTGGTGGTTTATCCAACGCAACTGGTTCTGGCTTCTCTTCAAATAAAAAAGGTCGTAGTTAACGACCCGTAGCGGATAGAAAACAAAGAAAAAGGCAGAGATATCTATTTCTCATTCTTTCTCGCTCTTTCTTTATTATATATAAGAAAAAAAAAGGAAAGCATACTATAATTGATATATGTTGCAGGAAGTATATATATCTTTATCTATATGTGTGCGTATGTTTCTGTGTGTGCGTGTGTGTGAGAGAGAGAGTGATATTCACTTTATTATCCTTTTTTGTTCATTCCCTTTTTTCTTTTTGTTTTGTTTTTGGTGTTTATTTTTTTTTTCCCGCTTTCTTCTTTTTTAAATTTAATATTTATTATTTTTTTTTTAATTTATTCCTCTCTTGGCAGCCGCTTGCATAAGCGGAAGAGCGATGGTGCGCCGAACCTTTTATCAAAATCGAATCTGGCGTCAAAGGAGCAGCAGTTTAATTGTGAAGAGTCTTAACCGCTTTGAAAATGACCTCCCAGTTGTTTTTGGATCATCCTCATCATCTTCACCAGAGTCTCATGCGGGGACATACAAAACAACAACTCGTTCCGCGTATTCCGTGCTTCGAAGTCGTAACACCCCACCAGATGTATGTGCACAGAATCTTATTTCTTCTTCTGATGCCTCAGTTCCAATAAGCATGATGCGATGCTGCTGCACCGCCTTGATATATCGTTCCTCCGAACAGTTAATGCCATTCTCAGCAGAGAAGGATCGTGAACGGGATGACTTTGTTTTCTCGCTTAAACTTGCCTCTGTGGAGCAGCCACTGCGGGACTTGGTGGGTGAGGAACGGTACGTGGCGCTCGTTGGGTCTGCACTCTCGCAGGCACAGCAGGTTGGACTCTGTCAAGAGCTTCCACAACTGGATGAGGGTTCGTGGGTGGCGCGACTGTTGTTAACACCTGAAGAAGATAACCGCGTGAAGTGGTTGCGTGAAGATGGAGTGCTTTCGTCTACGACTTTTGCTCGTGTGCCTTCTTTCAAGGCAATGTATGTGGCCTACCACGTTAGTGGTGAATTACCCCTTGATGTACGGCAATTTGAGAATATTGAAGAACGTATGAGGGAAAATAAAGTAGAATGGGATATGTGCGACGCCGCTGTGGCGTGTACATTTGCTATGAAAAGTGAAAACTTCCGACCGTATTTTTGTCATATTGTACAAAATAAATTATTACGTGATGGAAATGAAGAATCTGCAAATACAGAGATTTCCAAAGAACCTGAAGTGGGATTCCGGCATGTACTTGGAGCTATACTTCTCCTGCAATGTTTTAGAGAGTTACATTCTGAAGCACAGGAAGCAGGTGGACATTTAATAAACCCTCCAACTTATTTATTTGCAGTAGCTACTCAACTTTTTTCTTTAGTAGCATCATTACCGCCAACTGATCTCTCTTATATTCTAGAGATTCTATCTAAAAGTTGTCGTACAAGTGCTCTTTCATTGGCCAATATATGTATAGTTCCTTCAGAGAGTCCATTGTTACCGACATTTACATTGTGGTTATTGAAGGAGGCACCTTATACTGTTACTTGTCATCATCATTTTCGCCGTATGATATTACGGAGTCAGACAGAAGCATTATCGTTATTGGAGAAAAGTAGTCTTCTTTCAAACAAATCTATTGACCTTCAGGTAGTGGATACTGTGCTCTTGCCTCTCCTTGATGGATGTGGACATGAGGAATTCTTTTACCGTGTTATTCGTGAGGTGCTTACTGGAATGGAGGAGCGACTGCGTCGTGATCCACAATCTTTCACACAGAACGACATTCGCTACATTGCATTACTCGGCGCACGTTTGTTTGATATGCAACCACAAGACCGTCTACACACACATAATCATCATCATGCCAGTGGAAGTGCTTTTGATGCGACAGCACGTGAGCAAATGGAGGAATTGCGGGTGATGGATGGAAGTCCATGGGCGTTAGTGGCACTCTCGTATAATTATCTAAAGGAGATTGTCATGACGATTGTTAGAGACCACAGACAATTAAGGAAACAAGTGGAGGCACAGATGCGAAATATTGTAGAGGCCGTCACTGCAGATACACCAAGTAGTAATACTGGTAATCTGCAATCAACAACAACAACAACAGGAACTGTAGGAGTGAAGTCTTCATGCGGAGATGAAAAGGGAGGTTCCACACATTATTCACAGAATTTTAGTCCTGATGCGGAGACTCACATGAATTCTCCATCTGCTGTCGCTTCGACCAGAGAGAGCAATTCTAATACCTGCAACAACGACAATAGTAATAAAAACAGTGATAATAGTAGTAAAAATAAAATTAACAGCATGGGGAATAGTTGTGAAATGGATTCAACACCGCTGCGCTCACCAGCACCTCCTTCATTACGTCAACGTTTTGTTGCATTTGTGGAGGAGTTGGTAAAGGCTCTTGTGGATGAAACTGGAGCTAATCGACAGAATTGTTTCGTTGTCAGTAATGAACTCTTTGCATTTGTGAATCAACATGTACCTGTACCTAATATTCATGATGAATACCGTCGAAAGATATTTCTTCTGGTAAACGTTGCTCCTGATAAGAGTTCTGTAAAGAGTAATAACAACGGAAATACTACCAATAGTATGAGTCACATCGATAGTAACAATACAAAAGAGACAGAAGATGAAATCCCAGCGGAGCTTCGTCTTTTAGTTACATCTCTACCATTGACTCTTTCACCATGGGCAAGTGTTATGATTCTACGTGAGGTGTTAAGTGAGTCAGCAGGTAATAATCCTAGATATACTTATGTTCTTAATGCAGCAATTGATTTACAACTTCCTATTTCTACTACACGATCAAGAATAGCGACAACGCTTAATATGTGGCGATTTCTAAGTTCACAAGCTGAGAAACTTACAGTTAGTGAAAGACTAAATATGAAGCAACGTTGTGTTCTTAATTTACCTCTTTCATATATTATGTCTTCATATTGGTCTCTCTTAACATGGATGGCACTACTGACAATTGTTGGATTGAATGTTGTTGGTTTAGATTTTGAATCTCAGTACGTTGCCACCCGTCTTTTTCAGGAGTTTGCCCCATCTGATGATGTTTTACCACCTGTAAAGGATGAATGGAATATAGAGGGGGCGAAGGAAGTGGTATCTATCTATCTAGAAGACCCTGATTTAAGTATTATAGATGGTGAACCACATCATCATAATATGAAAAAGAAACATTCTCGAACTTCTTCAGAAGTATTACTTTCATCTGCTTCATATATATTTCTTGGAACTGATGATCAACGTCGTCCTATGACTCTCATTCAAATAAGTAGTGAGGCGAGTCTAACACCTGTGGAACGGGTAGCGGAAGAGTCTCTCTGTGCTTCAGCCGTACTTCGGGAGTTATCACGAGAATTGCCATTTCCATTTTATCTCCCAATTGAGCAGCCACTTTCTGTAGAACTTATCGTTTCCCGAGTTGCGGAACGAATTAGACGTATTTCGTTTAATAATGCCTGGTTTGTTAGCCGTATGATTTTTAGAACATTCCCATTGGGTAGATATCACACAGAATATGGATTAGTTTCTCACACGTGTACACAGGCTAATTTAATACGTCGCCGCATGACCTTTCTGCTTTACGTCCACCAAAGTGTACCATTAACTCCACAGTTACTCTCCCGTCTTCATGAGAGTGTACTTGCACAGCATGGGAATCTTGTGATTGTGGCACATGAGGACAGTCTGGTGAGAGGAGGAACAACAGCGGAGGCGGTGCAGTCTCTCACCAAAGATGGTGTTTTTCGAAATATTCCATACAACAAGAGATGGGCAAAAACGGGAGAAATAAGATCACAAGATGATAGCACATTAGGACCACGATGGCCCAAGACAATAGAGAGACTTTATGGTGAAGCGTTAGGGTTGTGGGGTGGATGCACTAGAGAAATTGTAGCGGGAACTCATGCGCTTACTCGAAAACTAAAGCGATGCTGTCCTTTTTAAGGAACAGTATGGGTTGAAGCAACCCTTTGTGTTCTTTTTTGTTTGGTTATAATATGTCCTTTATTCTTTCTTTTACTTTTTTTTTTTTTTCTTTTTATGGAGCTATAGTGTGAAAGACTGCGATTTTGTGTGTGTGTGTGTGTGTGTGTGTATGCGTGGAGAGAGAGAGAGCGAGAGAGAGAGAGATTTGATACAGATGAAAGATTGCGGCAAACAAGAAATGCGTTTTGGTCATTTGCGAACAATAAGTGGCACTGACGATATCAACGCAGTTTGTTCGATAATTGTAGTGTCTGATTATATTTGGTTCTTATGTCAAGTATGTCTTGCAATGAGGGGCTAATCTCATGTTTATGTTTGCCATGTTTATTGGATTATTATGACCTTTGATTCATGTAGAAACCCAAATAATGTGTGCGTACATGAACATGAGGCTGAAGATTGTGATTGAGGGTGTAAACTTTATTAATAATCATCAATGCTGTAGAGTGTATCTCTCTCTCTTTTGTTTATTTATTTTGGGTGTATTTCCTACTCACACTTTTGTTCTATTCTATTTTTCTTCTTTACGGTTATCGTGCGGGTGTTTGGGTTCATAGAGAAACAAGAGACAGGAAGGCAAACCCTGCGAATATATATATATATATATATATATATATATATATATATATATATATATGTGAAGGAAAAAAAAAGAAAGAAAGAACGCGAAAAAGGAATTATTAACAGATATAAGGAACAAAAAAAAAAAAAAAACAAGAAACGAAAGAAAGCAAGTAGAAAACACAAAAGAAAGAAGAAGAGAAAACACACAGTTCCCCACAGAGGTTGAATTAGAAAACAATAAACAATAAAAAACAAAACAAAAAAAAAAAAAAACAAAATAAATGGATTGCGGTTGCTTTGTCTGCGTTTCCACTTCCACCCTTGGCATTGTGGAGAGCTGCGGGAAGTTCAATCGCCTCGCCTCGCCCGGCGTCAACTGCCTTATTCCCTGCGTGGAGTCCCTGCGCGGCCGCATCACCCTCAAACTCCGCTGCACCCCCGTCGTGGTGGAAACCAAAACCAAAGATAACGCACTGGTGACCATCACCGCCTGTCTGCACTACCGCGTCCTTTCCGATCGCGCCACCGACGCATTTTATCGCCTCACAAACCCAGCCGAGCAGATTGGGAGTTTCGCGGCTAATGTGATCCGCGGGGAGGTGCCCAAGTACACACTGGACGAGATCTTTCTGCTCTCCCGCAACATCAAACAGGCGGTGGAGGAGGAGTTGAAGGAGCGACTCACGCAGTACGGCTTCGCACTGGAGGCCACACTCGTTACGCAGATTGACCCAACACGCGATCTGAAGGAGGCGATTGCACAAACACAACTCAACGCCTATCGACGTACCGCCGCCGAACACAAGGCGGAGTTGGATAAAATAGTGAAGATTAAAGAGTCGGAGGCGGAGTTTGAGGAAAAGCGACTGGCCGGTGTTGGACTTGCAGAGGAGCGTAGAGCCATTATGGAAGGACTGCAGAGTAGCATTGAATCTTTTGTGGATACTGTACCAGGCGTTAGGGCACGGGATGTGATGAATTTACTTCTTATGAATCAATACTTTGATGCCCTGAAAGATATGGGAGGTTCCAATAAGAGTTCAGTAGTACTACTTCCACCAGGAAACAATAAATCACTCTTAACGGAATTACTAGCGGCACAAAGTAGTAGGGGGGCTATGCAATAGACATTTAGGTTTTAATATATGTTATCGTGATCGTCTCAGTTATTTATCAAGAATATTTTATCTTTATTGGTGCGATTTTGGTTTCTATTTTTCCCTTTGATCTTTTTGAATTTGTCTTGCTTACCTTGTTTTTTCTTTTGTTGTTGTTTCGCATGAAATAGAAATATCATTTTTTTTTTCTTTTCTTTAAATCCACCCATTTCCAAGGATTATACAAACATATGCTTGAAGATTTTTTTTTTTTTTTCTCTTCTCCCTGTTGTTTTGACTTCACATTTCATCCTCTATATATGAAATGACAGTGCAAAGGGTCAAAAATACAAAAAAAAAAAAAAAACGAATTTATTTGCTCGCTCGTTTTCGTTTTTCTTCATGATTCTTACGGCTTGTCTTTTGTAACTAAAACAGCCTCACCCACATTCTCATCAATGTTAAAGTCTACATGTGGATAATATACATAACTTCCCGTGGATCTATTTTTTTATTTTTATTTTTATTTGTTAATGTTATCATCTCTCTCTGCCGTTTGATCCTCACGTTAATTTTTAATATATGTGGAACAAAGGGAAAGTTTCTCACCAAACAGATAATATAAAACCAAGCCACAAAAGGGAAAAAAAAGAAAAACAGTCCAAAATTGGACCAAACCCTAAAATCAACAACAACAACAACAAACTCAAAGCGAAACCAATAATAAAAGAAATAAAGCGAAGAAAAAAAAAGAAAGAAAAGAAAAAAAAAACCTGAAAGGGACGGTACTCAACATATATATATAGAGAGAGAGAAAGAAAAAAAAGAAATAAAGAGAAAGAAAGAGAGAGGGTAATGTCTCGGGGTTCCACAGTCCAAGAGCTTGCTGAGCGGGTGGGGCAGCCCGCACTGCTAACGGAGGAGGAGTTAACCGCCTGGACTCAAGCGAGTGATGTCAGCCGTGCGGGGGCGTTCTACGGCTCGGATGTAGAGGCTGCACGGCGGTGTGTACACTTGATAGCTGATGTACTCGTCACGAAGTATCTCAACAACCCGGATCACGCAGCTGTTCCAGTGGATAACAAGTCACGTGTCTGTCTGGTTCTCGGTAACTTTGCATTATACAAACCTGTGCGTGATTGCATCTTTGGTGTTCTTGATAAACTGGAAAAGGTATTTGAGGAGTCCATCACGGAAGATGGATTACTCCCCTTCAGGCCGGATCTCGGTCGGATGACAGAACATGTCTCGGTGTTGCTTGTGCGTATAACTGGATATAAACTAAAAGCAGCCAATGTACTGGAATTTACGGATGGGAACACACAGTTCTCTGTGCAACTAATGCTCGCCATCTTACTGAAGGAACCTCCGTACGAGATGGCGCTTCGATGTAATTGTATATCCATTATTTTGGGGTTTACACAACCACAAGCATTTTTTGATTCTTCAAAAGGTATGGAGGAAACATCATGTCGAGAGTTTACAGAAAAAATTAATTTTATGCTAACCCTGATGCTTCGTCTAAAAGCTGTTCAGGTTCTTAGTGATGTTCTGATGGAGCAGATGGAAGGGGTAGAGGTTGTGCCCCCATTGTTGCACGTCGCTACATGTAATTCAATGCGTTGTATTATGAATATCTTCCGATTCGCTTCCACTCACACTACACAGTGGCGACAACATGTTCTTCTTTCTACTACCCTACTGGATCATCCAGTAATGAATTACCTTCTATTACAGTGTGCATCCCTTCAAAAGATGTTGGAAGGGGCTAAACCAAGCATTAATGTTGAGATGGTGCGTGGTATGTCTCTGGGATATAAATTTGGTTCGTTCTGCACATTCCGAGTGGATCGCTACGCTAGGGAACTTCGTCCATTTTCTCTTTCTCTACACAATATGTTACAACTTTCCATTCGTCCTGTCATGCATGATACTGTGATGTCCACTGCTATTATGCGGCTCTATGTAGATATGTTTCACTTTATGGCTAACATAGATGCGTTGGGTGGAGAGGAGGGTTTGCCGGTGGAGGATATCCCCGCGGAACTGCGGAGTGACTCCCTTAGAGCCAGTGTGGAGATGTTCCTACAACGTGAAGTGGCCCCTGGCGGGCTATCGTGTGTGCAGGCATGGCACAATGCACTCAAGACGGTGGAACCCGACACACTCGTGGAGAGAAACTCCGCCACTTTTGCGTTGCTGCAGAAAATATTTAACGAACTCGAGGCACAACTGCTGGCGCAGCAGCCAGCCGCAGCATCAACTCCTAGTGCTCCTCCCACTACTACTACTACTACGACTAGTGGTGGAGCTAGCGGCAGTGATGGTGGGAAGAAACGATTCCTCGCCGAGGCCCCGCCGCTGCGCATGCGTCCACAAGAGACGAAAGTATCCATTGAAGATGCCGCGGCCCGTGTGGAGTCCACAAAGCCCATTGCCGTTGTACATCGAGAGGACATTACAGGTGTAGATCCCATGCTGTTGTGTGCATTGACGGGTAATGTGATGAAGAATCCTGTGATGTGTCCATGCGGTCATACCTTTGAACATGAGGCCATTCTTGCCTGGTTGCAGCAGAGTGGCTCGATATGCCCCATTACTGGAAAACCACTTACAGCATCGGCATTAAAGCCAAATAAGGATGTAGCAGCGATGATAATGAAGAAGGTGATTGAGCAAAGCATGAGAGGATATAACCAGGAGAATGAAGCAGATCTCTACGACTTTTAAAAATGAGTTTTATACAATGCAGATATACTTTTATGTTTATCTATAATATGTCTTTATATATATATATATATATATATATATATATATATATATATCTATATCTATCTACCTATTATTGGATTTAGAAAGAAGGACGTACATACACATTAACACAGGTGGACTCAGTAGTTACTTATGTATGGCTATATGTGTGTAAAAGTATATAAATATTGGAGGGTATACGTTACAGGATTGTACCGCGTCAATGAAGAGAAATGGAGGTGAGAAAAAAGAAAAAGACAATGTGGTAATGAAAAACAAAACAAAAAGAAAGAAAATAAAAATAGCCATTTAAATTCAGAAAAGCAGAACGAAAAAAGAAAAAAAAAATGGAGGCGTTTTCTTTTTGCTTTTCATGAAATGGGGAAAAGAATTGTTTTAAAGGAAATGAAACAACAAAGAGGTAAAAGAGAGTTTTTGCAATAAGTTGGGGAACTAGACGAAAAGCGAGAGTGTATAAGAAACAGAAAGGAATAATAGAAAAAATAAAACAAAAAAAGAAAAGAAGAAAGAAAGAGAAGCAAGCCACAATACAAAAAAAAAAAAAAACGAAAGAAAAAAGAGTAAAACTGTTGTGGTTTGGTAGAAGACAAGTAAAGAAAAAAAGAAAGAAAAAGAAGGGGTTATTAGATATGGTAATGAATATAATTGCGATGAAACGCGAGGTTCGTGACGAGAAGAAGGGTTTATGTAGGGAAAGAAAAGATTAATGAAAAGAGTCTATATAAAGTGACGTTCTTCTGTATATCTATTTCAAAAATAAAAAAAAAAGGAATAAAAGAGAAAAGGAAAATCATGTGAACATGATTCTTCTCCTTTTCTTTCCCTTACAAAGCCATCTTCAACTACAATAACTGAAGATCCGCATTCCTTTTCTTGAACGCGTGCTTAAATGTGTCCCTTTTTTAAAAATACCGGTTTCAGTTTTTATTGCACTCTGTTTTATTTTCCTTCCTTGTTTTTTCTTTCCCCTACCGCCCTTTCTTTTTATTGATTTTTTTTTTTTACTTAAATTAGATCAACACCTCCACACTATACACTGGGAAAAAAAAAATGTGAGTCTGTGTGTTTCTCTATGTAAAAATGTGTCCGTACGTGTTTAAGAACGGAAGTTGATGTTGTTGGGCCAGTAGTGGCGGCAGTGCTATTATTGTTGTTGTTCTTCTTTTTATGGTTATTGTCTTTTCCCACTCGTATCACTGCTACTGGAGAAATAAAAAAAGAAATATCTCTTTATCAATTCACGCTATACGTTTCTTCTTTTTCTTTCTTCTTATTCAGTTCTTATTCCCCATTCCCTAGTGGGGTTGTAGTATATATATATATATATATATATATAAATATAAATATATATCTATATTAGTTAATAGTTTCTCGTGCTAGAAATGTCGGCTGGGGATGCTGGCGGTAGTGGCGGTGTATTTAATGCAACACCGGAGGAATTTGTGAAGGCCACAGCAGACGTCACCTCACGACTGCGAGAAGCTGTGGATGTGGCCCGGAAAGATCCATCGAAGGAAATTGGAATATCTTCAGAGGAACTTCAACAACGACGTAAACTGGCAACAACACCTCGAAATTTTGTTGGGGATGGGACCAATCGTATGTTTGAAGTAAAGAGTTCGGCTAGAGCGCAGCAGATCATGAATAAGGGTCTTCTTGATAAGCAGCGGGAAATGCGTCAGAGAGAGGTGCTTAAGAAGATGGGTATTCTACGTAAGGTGCAGGTGGGATTGTTTATTGTTGGTATAGGGTTTGTCTGGTGGCTTGGGGTGGAGTTCCTCTTACCACAGTACGCGGCTGTGCAGGAGCGAAATCGTATTCTGCAGTTACGGTATGAACGAGCACAGATGAAACTTGAGGAGCTTGAGAAACAAAAACGTCAGTCAACTGAATCGTAATATTTATCAAGAAGTTTTTTTTTTTTTTTCTTTTTTTTTTTTTCTCCTCTCTGTGAGGAGCGGTAACTTTGTTTGCAAGAAGAAAAATGTTGAGAATGGGTAATATATAGAGATTGGTTATTTTGGTCTTTTACACCATGGACGTTATTGCTTTTCTTTCTCCCTCTCTCTCTCTCTCTATTTTTATTTCGTTTTTTTTTTTCTCTTTCTTTTCTACCATTTCAAATACCCATTAAAAAACAACATGGGAAAAGAAAAAAAAGAAGAATAAAAAAAAGCAGAAAGGGACAAATAACAAAGGAACACAAGTCTCTTCTAGTAAGGGAGGTGGAAAAAGATTATCCGGTTTTCAAGAAAGGAGTGTTTGTGTTTGTGTGTGTAGAACCAACAATAAGAAGAACAGAAGAAAAAAGAAAGAGAGAGAGATAAATACAAAGAAAAAAAGGATAACAAATGAGCAAACGAACTTTGTTTCTACAAGGACTTCTCATTGTACTCGTCGTATTGGGCGTTACCGCAGTGGAAGATGCGGCAAAAAGCGACGGGGGCGCTCAGGATAAAGGGAAGCCCGTTGCCTTTCAGGCAGAGGTAAGCAAGATGCTTGATATTCTTATCAATTCACTTTACACCAACCGTGCCGTGTTTTTGCGTGAATTGATTTCTAATGGAAGTGACGCACTCGACAAGATTCGCATGTTGTACCTCACCGCACCGAAGGAGCCTGTAAACAAGGATGGTGTGGCCCCTACACTGGACATGCATGTGTCTATTGATCCATCCAACAAGACACTCACACTGCGTGATGGTGGTATTGGTATGACACGTGAGGAGTTGGAAAACCATCTTGGATCCCTTGGCACGTCCGGCACAAAGCGATTCATGGAGAAGTTGCAGGAATCAAAGGATGCAAGTCTCATTGGTCAGTTCGGTGTGGGATTCTATTCCGCTTTTCTCGTCGCCGACCGCGTTCGTGTGGCATCTAAGAGTGATGATAGCGATAAACAGTGGGTATGGGAATCTGCCGGTGATGGACAGTACTATATTTACGAAGATGAACGCGGTAATACGTTGGGACGTGGTACGGAAATCACTCTGGAGATGAAACCGGATGCGCTGGAGTTTCTTAACAGTGATAATGTGAGGCGTATTGTACATCAGTACAGTGAGTTTGTACATTTTCCTATTTATATGGAAAAGGGAGATAAGTGGGAAGTGGTGAATGAGAATAAACCCATTTGGACACGCAAACCTTCAGAGGTGACGGAAGAAGAATATGTGAAGTTCTACAAGGCTCTCACTCATGACTACCGTTCTCCTATGTACTACTCTCACTTTACTGTTGAAGGTGAGGTGGAGTTTAGCTCTGTCCTTTTTATTCCAGAGGAGGCAACCCAGGACATCTTTATCAACAATGAGAATACACGTGATAATATTAAGTTATATGTACGTCGTATTTTTATTACAGATGAATTTCGTGAGCTTCTTCCTCGTTATTTGAGTTTTGTGAGAGGTGTTGTTGACAGTAATGATCTCCCTCTTAATGTCTCACGTGAGGTTCTACAGGAGAGTCGAATCTTACGTGTGATCAAGAAGAAATTGGTACGCAAAGCCCTTGGAATGATTTCAGAAATTGCAGAGACGGATGCTCGTATTAAGGATGAAATGAAAGATAAACCCAAGGATGAAAATAAGACAGAAGATAAGGGTAGTATAAAACATCCAAAGGAACCACTTTATCCAAAATTCTGGGCACAATTTGGTAAGCATATTCGTCTTGGTATTCTTGAGGATGCAAATAACCGTGGTCGCCTTGCAAAATTGCTCAGATACGCCTCTAGCAAGAGCAATGGTACCCTTATCAGTCTGCAGGAGTATACAGACCGTATGAAGCCTGATCAGAAGAATATTTACTACCTTACCGGAGACTCTGTTGATAAAATGAAACAATCACCGCATATGGAGGAGGCATTGCAACGCGATGTGGAGGTTATATTTATGACAGATGCCATTGACGAGTATGTCGTGGGTCAAATTCATGACTTTGCCAATAAAAAACTTATTAACCTTGCTAAAGAAGGTGCTCAATTTGACGAACAAACAGATAAAGAAAAGGCTATTGAAAAGAAACGTATAGAGAAGTACCGGCCTCTTACAGATCGCCTTGCCCGCATGTTCAAGCGTAGTAATGTGCGTAAAGTGATCTTGACAAAACGTCAAACTTCAGAGCCCTTTATTCTTTCCTCTCAGGAGGGTGAGCTGACAGCACGTATGGTGAACATTATGAATCAGCAAGCCATTTCATCCATGCAGCAGATGCACCACACTCGTGTGTTGGAGATTAACTACCGTCACCCACTTGTGCAGGATCTTCTTAAACGATTTGAGGCAGACCCGAAGGATCAAGTGGCTGTTGACGTCGCGTGGGTACTTTTCGGCACTGCCAACCTGCAGGCGGAGTTCCCCATCACAGATCAGGCCATGTTTGCAAAACGTATGAATCGTCTGCTGCGCGGCCGTGTGGGCATTTCCACAGACGATACTCTGTTGCCCCCGGATGATGATGAGTACGATATCTCAGATGTGAAGCCCGACACAGCGGCCACCGATGAGAATGTGTTGCTTCCCATTGATAAGGAAACCGATGAGATACCAGAAGCAGAAAAAGAAGGGTCCACGGAGGGAACAAAAACAGCTGCAGAAGGAAGCACGGAAGAAAAGGAAAAGGAAAAGGAAAAGAGTAAAGAGGATGCAGCTGCCCAAGATGCCGGTGACCTGTAGAGGTTTTAAGAGTTTAAAAAAAAAGGGAACGCGTTTATAATTTTTTTTCTTTTTTTTTTGCTCTTTCTGCTTTTTGTTTATATGTCCTTCTTTTTTTTTTATTATTATGTATTAAAATGAATTGTGTCAGGGGATGATATGTATAAAAAGGAAGGAAAGATGGCTAAAGAGGAAAGAAAAGAAAAAAAAAAATCGGGGAGAAGTGAAGAATGAGTATGTGTCCTAGAATGCTTTGATTTTTTTTTTTTCGTTTGCATATATTATAATGTAAACAATGGGCGCCACAAACTTTTATTGTTGGACTAAATCAATAGCATCTCGGAGGGAACACACATTCATGCGTGTACATGAATGTGTGGAGTGGGAGTGAAAGTACACACATACATATATATATCAGAGCGTGAAGACTCCCATTCTCTTTTTATCATTCTTCTTGATTCTCTCAAGACCATTATTTGCAACTATTGACCTTGCGAAAGGAAAAAGAAAAGGGTTTAAAAGCGTTTTGAATTTATGAATGATGCAAAATAGTTAAAATTATAGTAAAACAATAAAAATAATACAGTGAGGCTTTTTGGTCTTTTTGTCTGCTTGTAATCCTGCTCTCTTCTTTTTCATCACTGAACTTTTTTATGAAGTGAAGTAGTGGTAGTAAACTCACCGGGCCGCGTCACACCCACACCCACAAAGTGAGAGAAAAAGAGAAAAAAGGGAATTTGGAGAGAAAAGAAGGAATTAGATCCCCTCCTTTTCCCCCCACTCCCCTAAACACAAAGAACAGGATAAGAGTTATAAAGCGGTGATTGTGATGCCTAAAGTGCAAAAGCCAAACGGTGATGCAGTGTTGCCCCGAAAACTGCGTAGTTGTGTAGACACCATTCACACAACACTTGACGGTGGACCTGATGTTTTTTTAGCCTCGCGGCAGACTAGTGAGGAGACGTCACGGCAGTGCCTTGCCTCTCTATACCTCCTAGCTTCTTCACTTCACACACCACAGCTGCCGTACTACAGCAAATCACTGGAGACAAGTAGAAAGCGACACGTTACGGTTGAGCAAATATGGGGTCAGATGAACATGTTGCTCCGTCCGGTGTTACGCCGCTTACAGGATAATGTACGTCTTGCGCAGAAGAAGTTTAATGGAACCGCAGCACAACAGCGAGAGGGTACCACACTGGAAAAGAAGCAGCAAGAAAGCAAAAAGCGATCACGAGATGAGGATCTCGAAGGTGATGAAAAAGATGTGCTATCAACAAAAACCTCAGAACTCAGCGAGGGTGATTTGGATGAAGAAATTGCGCAGCTCCTGGAAGAACAGCAAAGACGACGTGAACAGAAAAAATCAGGTAAAAAGGATGCTAACGGTGACAATTCATGGCGTTATGCATTTGGAAAGGGTAATGAAGATGAGGATGATGAGGCAGAGTTGGATGGTAAGAGTGGTGAGGATGAGATGGAAGATGATGTTGATGATGATAATGATGATGATGGTGAAGCGCGTATCCGCCGTAGGCACGCACGTGCGATGGCATCCATGGAAGAGGATGAGGATGAGGATGAGGACAAGCGCGGTGATGAGGAACTTGAAGCATTAAAGGAAATGTACGGCGAAGACTTTGAACCGGGCGATGAGGATGAAGATGAGGGCGTCAATGGCTCAGACGAAGACCCACAACTTGAGGAGGATCTCGCCTGGGATGACCCGAGTGCCACCTTTGATGAACGCGATGGCCAGTATTGGGGAACGGACGACATGCTTGCGGACCACGACACCACCGAGGACTACCCGCACGCCGGCACGAAGGCCATTGCGAATGCCACTGGTGATGCTGCGGTGGATGAGGAGGAGGCGGCGGCGCTGAATGACCCGAACTTGACCGAGTTGGAGCGGGAGCGTCTGCGCGAGCGGCTCCTGGTGTCGCGCCTGGAGCAGCAGCGGCTGTACAGCACGGAGTGGACGATGGGCGGCGAGGTGAGCGGGCGGGAGCGGCCACGCGATGCGCTGCTGGACGCCCCGCTGGACTTTGAACACGCCATGAAGGCCGTGCCGGTCATCACGGAGGCAGTGACGGCCAAACTCGAGGACCGCATCCGCCGCCGCGTACTCGACGGCAACTACGACGACGTGCAGCGGCGAAGCGCCTTGTCAGCACCGGCAGATTTGACAAGCGCCGCACGCCGCGATAACAACGCCGACTCTGAAAAGTCACGACTCTCACTTATGGATTTATATGAGAAGGAATACCTCGCTCGGGTACGAGCCGCTGAGGAGGCAGACAGCAGTGCTAACAATAACGCATCAGCAGAACCATTGACAGAGATTGAAAAGGATGAACTGCGGGCAATTCACATGTGGAAACGCCTCGCACAACACCTTGATGCCCTCAGCAACTTCCACTACACACCAAAACCGGTACAGGAGGATCTCTCAGCTCGTGTGCGGGCAGTTGAGGGACATGCTCCTGCCATTACTGTTGAGACAGTGGGTAACTTCGCCACTACGCGGGAGATGGCACTCGCCCCACAAGACTTATACCGCGGTTCTAACCGTAAATACGCCGATGTCGGCTCCAATGAGTTGCTTCCTCGGGAGCGACGGGCATTACGGCACGCTAAGAAGGAACAGGTGGGTGCAGCACGTGATCGTAGGGAGAAACGCGTGGAGAAGGCTAAAAAGATGAAGCAGCAACAGAAGGAGCAACAAAATAGTCTGACGGCGTGATGAAAGGTGTCTTCACTTCGAAACGATTAATACTACAAAAAAAAAAAAAAAAATGGTGGATACGAGACTAAAATGAGATTATATATATATATACATATGTGAGTGTGTATAAGAAGAATACCAATACAAAACACTAAAAGAACAAAACAAGAATAATAAAAGAGAAAGTAAACAACCACAACAACAACAAAAAAAGACAGTAGCAAATGATTAAAAAAAAAAAAAAGAGAGAAAAGAAGAAGTCGGATTATCTTTTTTCCGTCTGAATCAAGAAACTGTGTAGTGTCAAGAGAGAGAACAACACATTCACAATTTGTTCCGTCGTGTTTTCTTTTTGGTGTCTTCCCATTATTGAGTGTTTAATTATGTCTGTGGGTATCTTTGTATTCACTTGGATGTGTAATGCCATTCCTGTCTTTTTTTTTTCTTTTTTTGTTTGGGTACTGGATGACTTGTTTACTCCTTTTTTTTTTGAATCTATTTCTTATTTTTACAAGGTTTGACTCTAGTTGATCGAGAATTTTACACGCGGGAGCTTCGCTCATTTCGTACCGCGAAAATGAAACTGGTTCCAAACTCTCCTGTCCACATACTCTCACCACAGGAGTTTTCAGCAAAGCTGGACGCAATTCTCAAAGTGCGTCCTCGTGTCTGGTTGTCATCCGATGATGATAATGGCAACTGCCGTAACGAAACAAAGAATATGAAACCATTGCTTAGCCAAGAAGGATGTGGAGAAACACAGTCTACCACGGCTGCTAGTGAAGAAGCTACAGTGAGTTCAGTACCTCCAATTTCTCGTGAAGGGATAATTGACGTTGATGAAATGGATGACTACGTCGACGTATCGCAATCATCACTTGGGGCAAGCAAAGGTGTTACATGTGCATTAAGTTCGATAAGTAAAACCGAGAAGTCCTCTGTGAGTGACAATGGCAAAAAGAAAATGGAAAAACCATCCAAGCCAAAGACCCTAGAAAAGAAATCGAAAGCGCAAAAAGCTAGGGAGTCGGTTGGAATGACGTCCACCACAACATCAGGTATCAAAAGAAAGCGTACCATTGATGATTATTTTTGCCGCCAATAACAGTAATATGTGAATTATGTAGTATTTCTCTCTCTGCTTTAGATTTCCTATTCACCCACTTCACTTTTTCTTTCTTTCTTTGTTTTTGTTTTACACTGAATGATTGAAGAGGAGGTGTCAACACAGTTGCGTTTCGCCGCAGTTTTCACGATTGTACAAAAAAAAAAATTAAAAACATTAATAAAATGGAAACTTGTAAGTATACGATGTTATTGTTTTTCTTCTTATGGTTTAGGAGTTTATTTTGTTTCTCCTCGCCGTATCAAAAAAAAAAAAAAAAGCATGATGCAATTAACAACCATCTGTTTTTTTTTTTCTTACTAAATATATTTTTTTAAATTCTCTCTCTTCTTTGATTATTCTTCTTTTTCTGCGAAACGGGGGAAAAAGTAGGACGGAAGAGAAGTAAATAACATTCTTTATCTTTTCAACAAAAAAAAAAAAAAGCGAAAAGAAAAATATCACACAGGGTGAAAAGAAAAAGAACAACAATTATAAACAAGCTACCATAACCACTACTACTATCATTATTATTATTATTATTATTATTATTATTATCACTTCAAAAATAATAAAAACAGGAGACGACAGACCCAACAGTCAGTACATATAGAAATGCCTTCTTTTAATTTTCATCCTGGGTTTGCTGGTCACAGCATACGGTGCAACCCGTGGCAGCCGACGCAGTATGTTATTACGGCGGCAGAGCACTTTGGAGTGGCGGGATCAGGCAAGGTGTACATTGTAAACACTGCCCCGGGATTTCCAACAGGGTCCCCTGTGTCCCTTATGGGATGTTGGGGAACAAGTGACGGTGCCTTTGACGCTTGTTTTAGCGAGGCGGATCCAAACATAGTGGCAGTTGCGTGTGGCGATGGTGTGAAGTTGTACAATGTGCAACAATCCCTAAACCGTGATGGCGTGGTTCCGCTTGTGCACATTACTGAGCATCAGGCGGAGGTGGCGGGGTTATCTTGGAACCGGGGCAGTTTTCTCTCATGCAGTTGGGATGGTTCCGTAAAGTTGTACCAGGCAGCGAATCCGCAGGTGTCTTGTATGACCTTCCGGGAGCACATGAAGGAGGTGTATGAGTCCACCTTCTCCCCGCGCAACCCCGCGACCTTTCTCTCCTGCTCTGGTGATGGGACGTGGAAGTTGTGGGATGCCCGGGCGCCGCGCTCCACCCTCACGCAGGTGGGCCACAACCACCAAATCATTCTCAGCATTGATTGGAACAAATACGACGGGAACATCTTCGCCACCGGCGGGGTGGACCGCACCGTGCGGCTGTGGGATCTCCGCCGGCCCACCGCCCCCCTCGCCGCGCTGCCCGGCCACGAGAACGCCTGCCGCCGCGTCCGCTTCGACCCGCACGCCCGCAACCGCCTCGCCTCCGCCGGGTACGACTGCCGCGTGTGCGTGTGGGACCTCAACCAGCCGCAGCGACCCCTCGCCGCCCGCTACGCCCAACACCGCGAGTTCGTCGTCGGACTCGACTGGTCCCTCGCAGCGCCGCTCGCCCTCGCCACCGCCGCCTGGGACGGACAGGCCTTCTTTTGGCAGCACGGGGCCCCACCGACGCCGTCCCCACCACTCGCAGCGCAGCTACCAGTCGCCGTCCCACCACCGCGAGTGCGAGTGCCACGCACAAAGGTCCTTCCAGGACTCCCACCCGTTCCAATCACGGCACCGGTGTAAAAAAACAAGAAAGAAAAAAAAAACAAAAAGAAGAGCCGCTTGGATACAGGGTGGTGGTGTGTTGATGGTGGGGAAGCCACCCAGAACTGGACACAGTGGCAGTACATTATTTTACAAAAGGAAGATAAGAGGAAAGGGTAAAGAAGAACGAATGAAAAAAAAAAAAAAGAACGATCAAAGGAAGTGAGTAAAAAAAAAAAGAAATGGGAGCGTTTTTGGTGTGAGGCAACAATAATAACGAAAAGAATACTGTTTTTATTTTATTTTTAGTTTCACCTGAACCATCAACGTGTAATGCAGCAGATGTGGGGGTACAACGTGTTTGGCTACTTGGTTCTCTCTTATGAACTTTAAGGGGGCTAAAAAATGCTTTAAAGAGAGACGGGGATTCCGAGTCTTGTTTTTATCATTTCTGATCTATATACCACTAAGGTGTTTGTCGTTCTGAATTTCTCCACTTCTTGTTATATTTCTTTCAAGCTCAAATAAGTTGTTCCTTACTGAGAGAATAAACTGAACAAAAAAGAAAAAAGAATTACCACCAGAAAAATAGCATATAGAATATGGGACATTATCGTCGAAAACGAGTTGCCACTTCTTTAGTGTTTAGCGTTCAGGATCGCCGCAATCGTGCTCGGGCCTTGTTACAGATCCAACAGAGAAAGGCCGCGCTCTTCCCTATTGGAACATCGGATGTAGCTCATCGTCTACACGTCATGCAACCGAATGAAGGAATTATGGATTGCAGTTTTGTCGCAGAGGATACAGAGGAAGATTTTGCTTTATTTTCCAGTGGAAATATACCTCCAGAAGAAATAAGATCTAGGAGACGTACACCTATTTCTTACGAACAATGGGTAGAAGAAGGATTTCCGGTGGACTGTTGGAGACCTCTGCTTATGGATGAGTTATACGAACCACTGGAAGCGGAGCAAACTTTCTTACAGGCCAAGTATACTCTTGCCTCAAAAAGAAGAAAGAGTCTCGCCAAGGAGACTTCCACGGCCAACAACCAAACGGGAATTGAAAAAAAAGAGTCTTAATGTATATCATGAGTATTTTGCTTTTTCTGATGTTGCACGATAGAGTTTCTCTGCCCCGAATCAATTTAATAGGTCTCTACGTGTGAATGAAGCTTATATATGATTTTTTTTTTTTTGTTTGTTTGTCTCATAAAATTCCCTTTTTTTTCGTTCCAATGCCTATATATATATGTATATATATAATCCTTTAAGCTTCTTCATCTGCGGCATTGGATTTTTAGTTTTTTTTTCTTTTTTTTTTATTGTTGGTTAATACATGCATGTATATATTTTAATATATATCTGTTTATATCATTTCTGTTTTTTTTTTTTTTCTTTTGGCTTATCAGATGGAAAATGTTTTTTTTCTTGTTTTGCTTTTTTTTTTGCTTTTTTTCTTTCGTTTTTTATCCATTAATTTTCTGCAATGCTTGTGCCAGCTTACGTCGACAGTGTTATTGATGTGAGGGTTTTACAACGATACGAGGAACACAAAGAAATGAATAAAAAAAAAAAGATGCTCTGAAACATGTGTTTTTTTTTTTTTTTTTTGATTTTCTCTCTCTTTCTCTATATCTGGTTCGTTTTTTTTTTTCTTTTTTTCTTTTTGCTTGCTTTACTCATTTTGTTTTTGTTTTTGCTTTTATCGTTATTTATTTATTTATTTATTCGTTTTCCCCCCCCCCTCTTTCTTTTCCTTCTTACGTACTATCAGGCATACATAGTATTATAATAAATCATGCCAGAGGGTCCATGTGTGTTACTTCTTGGTGGCTTGGGTATGATTGGTAGAAACCTTCTAAAGTACATTGTGGACTACCAACTTGCCTCTTATGTTCGGGTGGCGGACAAGCGGGTCCCTGAAATGTGCCATCTCTCTCCCACATACAAGAGTTTGCTGACATTACCATATGTTGAGGTGATACAGGCTGATCTGTCGGTGCAGGAACACGTGGATCGGGCATTTTCTGCGGCGTCATTCAGCGTTATCGTTAATCTTGCCAGTGAAACACAATACGGCCATATGGACGCTATCTACGAACGAAGTATTTTGCGATTAAGAACCCTTTGTGCCCAAAAGGCTGCCCTTCTTGATAGCTGTGAACGTTATATAGAAGTAAGCACATGTCAGGTATATGAGTGTAGTAACAGTTCACCCGCAAAGGAGAATAAGGCACGTTTAAAACCCTGGACAGCCATGGCAAGATATCATCTTGAAGCTGAAAAAATTATCGCAACTATACCAAATCTTCCATGGGTAATTGTACGACTACCAATTGTATATGGACCAGGGGATATTAGAGGACTCATGCCACGCCTTGTATGTGCCGCCGTTTATGAAAATACTGGAGATTCCATGGAGTTTCTCTGGGGAAAAGACCTTCGAATACACACTGTACACGTTCAAGATGTAGCAGCAGCTATTTGGCATATTGTATGTGCTGGTGCAATTCATGATATATACAATGTAGTAGATGATGGTGATACCACACAAGGAAGTCTAAACACTATACTTGAATCCATGTTTAAAATAAAAACAGGATTTGTTGGGTCTATCATGTCTAATTTGGCATCTTGCAAGCTTGAGGAACTTGTAGAAGAAGCTAATGATGGTCACATGGCTCCATGGTCAGCAATGCTCAAGAAACACAATATCGATGTAACTCCTCTTAATCCATATTTAGAACCTGAACTCTTGTACAATAATCCATTGGCAGTTGATGGTTTAAAATTACGTGAATTGGGGTTTCAATACAGCTGTCCAAAACTCACAAGGGAATTACTTGAGGATAGTTTGGAGTATTGGGTAAACTTAGGCCTTTTTCCCAGGTAAGATGAGTCTGGGTGTCATTTCATTAAAAAAAAAACAAAAAAAAACTCTTCATTTAGACTTATTAAATATTTGAGGGAACATATTTTTATGCATATCGATCGTTACAAAGTAAATGAAGGTTAGAAATAACAAATGGGATAAATATTATCGAGTTAAGGGCAATAGAGTTGACATTCTGAAAGTTGAATTTTATGTATGTTTTTTTTTTTCTGTTTGTTTTACATATTTTTTTTATGCTTTGTTTACAAGAAATCTTTTTTTTTTTTTTTTTTAATTTCTTTCTTTTTGTACCTTGAAAAGGACAAACGAGAAAAAGGGAAGAAACGCACGTAAACGTAAAGAGTGACACAAACGGCGGTCCTGTTTTGACCAACATAGCGATACGCAAATAAGCAGAAATATCAAAGGAAACCAACAGTAACAACAACAACAAAAAAAAAAAAAAACATAAAAATAAGAGATAAAGGGAAGGATTTGATGCTGTGTTTAACCCGTTTCCGTGCATGTATGAAAAAGAATGTTTTTCTTGATTTGGTGAAGGATCTCCGGTATCGCACAGAGGCTCCTATTGCCGACTGCAGTGCTGCCCTCAAGGAAACAGGTGGAGATATAGAAAAGGCGATGGCGGTACTTCGCAAAAAAGGAGCCGCAACGGCCATGAAAAAAGGTTCTCGAGTTACAGAACAGGGAAGTGTTGTAGCCTGCATTGGAGGTGCATTTGGTGCCGCTGTTATTACGGTCTGCAGTGAGACGGACTTTGCCGCACGCAGTATTCAATTTCAGAATGCCTGTGCGAAAGTAAAGGGGAAAATGCAAACAAAGATCATTGATAGCAAAGGTGCCATTCTGGCAGATCCTGCAGAGGCCCACCGATCTCTTGTGGAGTCCACAACCGATGAACTCCGCGCCACTATTGCCGTTCTTGGTGAGAATGTCACTATTAAGTCTGTGCAGCCACTGCGACTCGCCCCGCACGTGACGGAGCGCATTTCTATTGGCTCCTACACCCACGGCGTGTTGGATGTGCCGGATGTGGGCCGCATTGCGGGTCTCGTCGCGGTGAGTTGTGTAGATCCCGCGGTGAGTGTGGAGCCAAGCACACTTGTGGATGTGGCCAGACACTTTGTGGCCTGCAGCGGCGCGGAGGGGAATTACGTCCATCAGAACTTCTTCGGCACGGAGGAGACAGTGGGGCAGTGGTTGAAGCGCCATGGTCTGCGATTCAGTAGTAGTACGGTGGTGGAGTTCGGTAAAGATCCCATTATACACACCGCCCAGCAGCCCCGTACAAACAGTAACTAAATGAGCCTTGAATGAGAGGGGTGGGGGGTGGGTTTCTGCAAATTGTTCTTTTTGAATTTATCTCACACACATATATTATCAACATTGAAGACGGAGGGAGGGAGGGAGGGGAGTGGTGTGGTGTGGTGTGGTGTTGTTAGATGGGAAATGATAGCCCTTCTCTCTCTTTTTTTTGTTTTTTTTTTTTATTATTAGTGTTCAATTGTTTTTTTTTTTCTTCGTACTCAAATACGCACATATTTGTAATTCAAGAAGTATATGAAATTTCTTACTTCATTACATTTTCATTGAAATGGTAGGAAACACTCTCACCTGATATTTTTGATGCTAGATAAAGTGCATACAAATACTGGAACCTTTATATATATATATATTTACTTTTGTATTGTTTTATGTCTCTTCATTTATTTTTTTTTATTCCACTCATTGATGGTTCCTGTGAATCCCTGCAAAACTGGGGAAAAAAACAAACAAAAAAACAAACAAGCAAACAAATTAAAGAGTAGTGGGAGAATGGGGCAAGTACAGGAAACCACAGTGAAAACTACACAGTTGTTGGAGCCAGAGAGAGGTCACCCTAATGATTACTACAGATCTATGAAGTATTATCATTTGAGACGCTTACAAGATTTTTACGCCCACTACGATCCATCTGAAGTACCGAACTGTTATAAACTACTAAAGCGTTACGAGGGAAGAGAAGGTGAGATGTTTTTAAAGTTACAGCAGAAGTATGGTCCTGAACCTGCACAATTAAACCCATTAGAAAATGCCTTGACGTTTGGTAGTGCAGGGACTCTACAAAACATGAAGGAAGAAGAAAGATTTCTTTTAAAGATGCTCATTGAAGGATCTGCTCGTGCAAGAGATCGTGAAGAACATCGTGTAGATGTAGAGAAGAGGGTTATAGCTCTCTTAGCGCAGAATGGGATTCCATCTGCAAACATCTCTGCAGTTATAATGGAAAGTTACGGTGATGATGAGACTAAACTCTTCAATAGACTACAAGAACTGCTGCCCCAACCAATACCACCACCAATACCAAGAATGCAGTACGGTCCAAGTCCTAATGTGGCACTACTACGAGCTCTTGGTGTTGCGGCATCTGTGGATAACATGGAAGTGCCCAATTCCTTTCTTCATCGTCTGCGTTTGAAGAATAGTGTACTCCGTGAGGGAGCGAACTTCTCTGAATTACAGGAAAAATCACAACTGGCTCCAAACTTCGAAGAACTTCCTACTGCTATTTCCTCTAATGATGTTCCTGCTGTTGCTGTTCCTGCTGTTGTTGCCGCGGATGCGAGCGTGGAGAGGAAGCAAACGTGTACAGGTGGAGAACGGCATAAAAAAAAAAATCTGATGGTTACCTTCGCCATACCAGAGGTACAGAACAGACCAGCAGAGATGACAAGTAATACTAAGGTATAAAAAAAAAAAAACGAATTTGGCCTTTTTTTGGTTTTTTAGTTTTTTTTCTTTTGTATATTTTAAATATGAGATGATCATATGTTTTGTTTGACACAGAACACTACTATCGTTATGAGTTTGATTTACAGTGAAAAGTCACGACAATAAAGAAAAAAAGAAAAATAGAGTCCTATACTGTTGTCATTCTTGGAATGATTTCATAGTTTTATTTATTTATTATTATTTTTTTTTGTTGTTGCTATCTGTTGTGTTGGTATTGTTTTTTCTTTTTGTTTTACTTCTTCTTTATGGCTCTTTGAAGGGTGGAAAGACGATTTGTAGAGGAAAAGAACAAAAAAAAAAAAAAAACAACATAGGACGAGGAAGGGGTTGTAACGAAAAGAAAGAAGAAAAGAAAAAGTGATTAGCTAGGTAAAAAGAGGCTTTCTTTTTTTTTCTTTGTTTCTATTTTTTTTTTCTTTTTTCTTTGCATGCTTCTTACTTAGTGGGAAAAAAGGATAATGATTACCGGTCATGATATTCAACTCATTCGAAAAGAAATAACATCCGTGGCATCAACTTCACAGAGATGTATGGTGGTTTACCCACTAGGGAAGAAAAGCAGACAACGTGTGGGTATAGGCGAGAAAACCGGCGCCGTGACGGTCTTTTCACTTGGAAAGACAATGGAACGGGTGTTGGCATTTGAAACACCTCCGCAAAACCGACCTGTAAGTTGTGCTACCATTTATGAAGATCAGATCTTTTTTGTACATGGAAGTGTATTGGATGCGTACTCACGAAAGGGAAAACTTTTTTTTTCCTTTGATACCAATGTAACAGAGGTGATACATACTGTTTTTGTTTCCACACCATTTATTATAACATGTGGTAGTTTCATGGTAACTGGATTTCGTGAGGCCAAAGAACTTGGTTTCTACATGGCACCTGATCGTATTAACGCCATGGTGGCATTTATTTCTACTACGGCTTTGACCATTAGTCGTGATGAACGTGCTTTTGCGGATTATTGTTATATTCTTGGATGTAATGACCGTACCCTTCGTATGTTGAGAAGTCATAAACCTGTAGTGGAAGTCCAATGTAAGGCTCCTGTTTCTTCTCTCTACTTTAGTGAGGCATCTCACAAGGTTTATTATGGGACAAGTGCAGGTTCTTTAGGATGCATGGATGTAAGGAACAATGATTTTTCTCTTAGTCGTGATTTTAGCTATATTCCAGATGATCGTCAAGCGGCGGTAACAGCTTTGTCAGTTTTTGATATTAATATGGATAAAAGAGAGGAACTGTTAGTGGGACGCCAAGATGGATCAGTACAAGTATTTTACATTCACAGAGAGAATGAAATTTCTAGTGGCCAAGTTGTTTGTATATGGTCTGGAAACGCAGATGAAAGTGTACTTTCCATTGCTGGTGGATTTATTACACATGCTAATCGTCCTGATGTATTGGTTCACTCTTTTAGTGGAAGAATTACAGCTTTTTCACTTAAAGAAGGGGATCGTATTACTGGAGGTGGAGACGCGGCCTCTGTACCTACTACTGCAGCAGTTGATTCTGAAGAGAATAAAATTGAAATTCAAATTAATGATATTCGTGGAGAAATTGCTGCTCTTAAACAGGCAATTGTTGCCAAAACCAATGAGTTAGCGGAGCGTACAGGTACAAAAGGGACTGGTACATCTCTTCTGGCTGTTTCTTCTACTTTTACCGTAAAAGTTACACTTTCGCAACAAAAAGATAGCCCCGCACTGTTGCTAATGATTGAGTCCGATACTCCTATAGATTGTGCTACAATACAAAGTGAGGTCCAACTACACTTTGTAGAGACATCTTCCGCAGAAGTTGTAGTACAGGAAGAAATTCCACAAAACAATCCATTAACGAAAACACTCGCCATTGTGCGACCATTAGAATCTCGCAAGTATAGTTGTTCCGCTACCTTTTGGATGCCTGACGGTCAGTGGGGATTATTAAAAATTACCATTCTAGGAGCTCTCGCTCCTCGTACGGCACAGGTGAAATTTGTACAACTACGACCTTTACCACTTTACGCCCACGTTGGGGGCAATGACAAGGATTCAAGTACGACAGGATTAGCAACTTCTACAATGGAGGTAGGAGGTGATTTCACTGCTCGAGAGATGCATGGTTGGTTGTTGATGTTACTCTCAGGGACTCCAGAGTTGTATCAGTCAAAGGTATCCACTTTACGATTTGAGAATACCTTTACACATGATACTCTTGAGGTGAAGTACGCTGATGGAAATACAGTGTTTACTGCTACTTCACTACTGACATTAACTGTTATTAAGCGTTATATTAGTAGCTGTGCGGTAGATAGATCATTGGCGTTAACTTTTCGTTTCTCAATTCATGATGATGCAGTTAACTCCAATCTACAGTGTATTTCACCTCGTCTTGCCAATTGTAATAAGACTTTTAAAGATCTTCGGCTTCTTGAAGCACTTCACGAGTTACACGGGAATCAACAAGGAGATAATAATCTTCTATCTGAGGATAACAAAGAACTTCTTGAGAAGGCAGATAAATCGAAGCAAGAGCATGCACAGACTTCACTCATGAGGGATTATTTGCAAATGTCACTTTTAGCACTTTATGATAGCGTTTCTGATTTGGTACCAGAAACGCCTAAGATGACTGTGACAACAAAAGAAGCATTGATTGCTGTAAGTGAAAATAGTGACTCATCGGATATGCAGGATGAGCTTGAACAAGTCTTCGTCTGCAAAAGATAACCATGTAGAGGTGTGGCTTTGCGTTGAGTGATATTGTTGTTGAGACATATATATATATATATATATAGAAGGGAGAAAGAGAATAAGAAAAGCAGTGCCTAAGGTGATATGGTTCGTTCCTATCTCTTCAATATGTCTGATGGCATATTGGCCTGTTATTATTATTATTATTATTATTATTTCTTATTTCTTTCTTTCCATTGCAGGGGGATTCCTCTCACTCCTTCTTTTTTTTTTCTACTTGTTTTTTTTTATTTATTCCGTACGACTCTCTCTCTCTCTCTGTATGTATGTATGTATGTGTGCGTTTCCTTTCTGTTCTCTCCCGCACAAACAGTACTTCTTTCTTTGTTTCCCTTTCTTTTTCTTCTACATCAAGTTGGGTGCCGCACGCGATGGAGTCTCCGGGGATTAGTGCCGTCCCGCTGGTCCTGCGGGCCCCCGTCCGGCAGGCGACGTTCTTCTCGCTGGCCCTCGTCGAGGAGCTCCTCCGCCACGCCCGGGGGGTTCCCGGCGGGGAGGGGGCGGGGGGAGTCCGGGCCCGCCTCCAGCACGAGACCCGCTGTGAGGCCTGCTGGCCCGCCGCCGCCCCCTCGCCCTCTTCCCCCGCTCTCTCTCCCTCCCCCTCCCCCTCTCTCCCTCCTTCCTCCTCTTCTCCCTCCCCGGCGTTTCTACTCCGCATCGGTGTCCTTCGCGCCCTCGGTCTCCCCGCCCCAGGGCCAGGCGATAACACCAACGACGTCTCCATTGCCCTCGGGCGGGAGATTGTATCCGTACCAAGGGCATCAGGAGAAGGCGCAGCAGATACACCGCCGTGGTACCGAGAGGCTGAACAGGACGAATTGCAGAATTTGGCATTAGCTGAGTGGTGTGAAGACCTCATTTTCTTCGCACTACATCATGGGTTTTCAGCGGTACAATTGAGGTGTGTACTCTTGACAGCGATGCATCTCATGAATACCATAGCAGAGCTTTCACCTCACGCAACAGATATGGATGCAGAAACCCGTTGTTCACAGGTATTGGAGATGCTACTTATAGAGCAGGCATGTGGTGTGCCGAATAAAGTTGTTGAGATACATCATGTGCCAAAGACGGTCACTACAGAGGTACCAGACCCGGAGTATGTGTCTGCTTTAGAGGCAAAGTTAGCAAAAGAAAAGAATAAAAAACAGCAACAATTATTACAGGAACAGTTAGCGAAGGCACCATTAATTAGTCAAACAAGGACTGAAATTCAAGAAGAAAGAGTCTTTAAAGAAGTTGTAATAGGTCCTTACTTTACACTTCATGAAGTAGCACAAATACTTGAGTATCTTTCCTCTAGTGTGGTGCAACATTGGCGGTTATTTCGCAACTTCTTTTCTGAATCTCAACCAAGAAAGGTATATAATGAGGTACAAATACAATGTGATATATGGCCTTTCTGTGTGCCACCACTTTCGGAGTTTTTGGAAGAGGATGTATATGCAATGGAGTTAGAGAGGAAGAATATTATAAATGAATGTGAGAAGGCTATTAACGAAGCCTTTAATGAAGAATTTATACAACCTTTATCTAAGCTTGCTCAAGAGCGAGATGGTATTCTAGAAGATTGGGAACTACAACAAATTAAAGCTGCGGAAGAAAATAGACGAAACGCTTTGGATGGGTCAGGATACGTACAGGTAGTACGCGCTTTTACAACTCGTTTGGATAAACTTATAGAACGGAACGAAACGTTGTGTAAAAATGAAGAGACGCCAGCACCACCGTTATCGTTACAAGAATCATCATCGACGAGTAGACCATTATCACAACAAACCAGACGAAGTGGAGGTAAACGCCCTGCGATGACTGCATCAAGTTCCAGTCGGTCTGTTACACCTAGGAGTGGCGCTACCCCACCATCCACAGCACTAGCAGCAGTAGCAGCGACAGCAGAAACAACAGGAGCATCGGCTTCGTCACAGTTGATTCAACTTCCTGCGGACACTGTATTTTCATTAGAGGATGTTGAGGCTCGCTTGTGTAGGTTGGAGAAAGCGGCCCAAGCGGCGCTTGATGCTTTAAAAGAAAAACCAAAAAAGAAAAAGGGATAAAAATAAATTACCATATTCATTCTTGACGTTTCTGTTATTTTCGACAGATGGTTTTGCTTATATATATATATATATATATATATATATATATTTGTTTATTGTGTTTTGGTGTATATGAGGGATGAAAAGAAAGGCGGTGACATTGATTATGAGAGGAGTGGCGTTTAGACGAGAACGATAAAAAGAGAAGAGGTGAAGTTGTGAAAGGGGAAAGTGATATGAGAGCAAGCAGATTGGGTACGATGTACAGAAACCATGAAATTTATTTTTCTTGATAACTTCCTTTATGGAGTCAATGAATGCACTTTGTTGTTCTTTTTTTGATTTGCTTATGCTGTATCTTTTGAACTTGCTACAAAAAAACAAAACAAAACAAAGAAACAGAAGGTGCAGGACGAAACAAAATGGAAACTCCAGGAAATTTGAAAGAAAACAACAACAACAACAACAACAGAAAAAAAGGAGAATATCTCATTGTTTGTATTATTCTTATTATTCTTGTTATTTGGGAGTACTGGTTTCTCATATGGGTCGTTTTCACATTCTTTTTTTTTCTTTCTTATTCTTCACACTACCACAAAAGGTAGAAAGACGATAAGGTCAAAAAAGACACTAGACTTATAATGTTGCTCTTGTGCGGCAAGAAGCAGGGAAGACCTGCAAAGATAGTCCTATCAGCAGCATCTGCTGCTTTATTGATGCAACGCCGGCATGTGGAGTACTGGGGATCTTCGGTAACAGGGCGTACACAGCCATATGCGCAGGGAGACATGCTACCGCGAGTGGACAATACTCGTCACGTAATTAACAAACCATCTAGCACAGCTGCAAGCCTTACGGGAAATCATTTGGGTATTGCATATGATAGTAGCAATATTTTTTCTGTGGAGGGATACAGTCAACTGGAAAAGGAACATTACCAGCCATTGCGTGGAATATCACGGTATAAAGTGGGACCTTTTTCTGAGAAGGATGGTCCAAGAGTTCGAAAGCTAATGGAAAAATTGGAGGCAGATATAACGGTTGGTATTGATGCCGCATGGTGGGGAGCTGTTCTTAAAGATTTTCCTTCCTTAAAGAAACCATGTACCCCCGAGTTTAAGGAGGAATTTGCACAGTTCTACAAGAGTGCTTTTTCAGTAGCACATGATGAAGATGCTGTGACTGCTCTCGCCGTACCTTTTGTACGTCGACAAATGCAAGAGCATTTCATCAGTTTTGCCATGTTTTGGCGCATAGCCGAAAAATTAGCAGATGCTTTGGGAAAGGCATCTGGGGCTCAGCATCACGAAAAACGTATTTCCCGCATTGCAGTAGAGCGGGTGACGAAGATAGCACTTAATACCATTGCGGATGAACCATGGGCACATCAAGATACCACTAGCCCTTTACTTTTCGATATTTCAAACTTTGGGGCGTGGCATGAGGCTGGTAACTGGTAGATAGAGGAGGGTAGTGACATGAGTGCATTAGAGAATAAATTAAAAGATATAGCAGAAAAAAGAAATAATGAGAAAAGAAGGGTTTGTTTGGGTGTGGACAAAAAAAGAAAAAGGTGAGAGGTAAAAGGGGGATTTATCGGGATATATGTAGGTTGTAGAATAGTGTTATTAGCGTCAGTTTATTTTGAGTTATAAATGTTTTCAGTGGAAGAGCATTGTCGATGGCTTCTTTTTTTTTTTCTCCCTTCGGCATAAAGTTCTGGTGTTTCCCCATCACAGGTACGGGGATGAAAAGTGTGTTGTAGGCACGTACCTCTCTTTCTCTCTGTGTGTGTGTATGTATGTATGTATGTATGTGTGTTTCTCTTACTACACATATGCAGTACCTCATGAACTAGAAGTAAAAAAAAAAAACAACAACAACAATTGAAAGAAGTGCAAAACCATTGTTCGTTGCAGATAATTGGTATTGTGACTCCGCGAGAAAAAAAAAAAAAAAAATACACACACACAATATTTTTATCCATAAATATCAAGCGAATCTTTTCTTTTTTTGTTTCAATTATCATTGTATTTTTTTTTTTTTTTAATTAAATTCTACTGATTCTAAGGAAGGAGAAGAGGAAGAAAAAAAAAAAGGTAAAGGCACACGTTTGAAGATTGAATGAACGCACGTGGTCGAGGCGCTGTGGCATTTCGTGGTGGACGAGGCGGTCGCAGTGGCGGTGGTGCTGGATTTGGGCGTGGACAAAGCCGTGGTCGTGGTGGACATTCATTTCGCGGTGGTGCGGATGCACCGATGAAGCGAGTCGTCAAGTCTTTAGATAATAATAATAATAATAATAATAATAATAATAATGGGTTAACTTCAGCAGGTTCCACACATACCACACCTGGTAAGCAATTCACATCCCAACAACAACAACAACGTCATGTTGTCACAACAGTGACGGATAACGGTACAGAACTCCCCAAAAAACTCAATAATAAAGTATTTATTGATGGTTTACCGTACGAAAATAAAACGGGAGATGGTTCAAGTGTAGAAGATGAGCTGATGCAGTTTGCTACTGCCTGGAGAGTTGGTAAACCCATTCGTCTTATTAAAAAGGATGGACAAGGATTCGGTTTTTTGGTTTTCTTCTCACCTCACAGCGTCGATGTGGCGGTACGTGTTTTAAACGGGCGTAAGTTCCTCGGTCGCACACTGCGCGTGGCACTTCCAAAGGAGAAGAATGGAATCACAGATACAATGAACAACGGTGGGGATGCGGATGGAAAGGGTAGTTATTCCCGTCAAGTACTTCTCTCGGACTTGGCAAAGATTACACAAGCGGAGATCATTCGAGAAATTCTCAGAGATGTAGCCCCACAACTGGAGAAACGATTGGAATCTGTCAAGTTAACATCAAATAACCGAAAAGCATTCCTTACATTTATGTCTAATGAAGACGTAGAACCCGCTGTGAAGTTTCTTGATGGCTTGTCTATGCTGGGCCGTCGCATTGCCGCATCTCCTGCTGCAGCCCCGGGTACATTACCATACTCAAAACGAGCAAACAAAAACACTCCACTTACAGGGCGTGATGCAGATGGAACCACAACAAAAGAGAGTAGCGATCACGATAACAATGATGATTATGAGAATAATGATGAGAATGATGTGGCACCGGTAGTGCCGTTGGGTATGGAGGCACCACCCACTCGACAGGCGGTAAAACGCACAGAGCAAACAGCAACACGTAAAGAAGGAAAACCAAGTAATGTAACTGGTGTAACAGAAAAGTACAATCTACTGGATAATGGTCCAGCAGAGGTGTTTGTTGGAAATCTTGGCGATGAGGTAACGGAGGCACAACTCCGTAGCCACTTTTCGGCATGTGGGAAAATCACAGAGTGTGAGATTATGGTGAATAAAAGTACACGTCTTCCTACAGGAATCGCACGGATCGTTTTTGCGCTTCCTGCGTACGCTGCCTATGCGCAGAAACATTTACATGGATCACGTCTGCATGGTCATATACTTCGTGTTGATCGTGGCGAAGAACCAAGTGCGCCGCTGATGTCAGAGTTAGCACCAAACGATGATGAAGAAGAAGAAATTGACGAGGATGGCTATATGGAGCACTACGGCGTAAAAGATAAGGCTGCATACTTCAAGGGAACTTCACTTGAGGAGGGACGCAAAGGTAAAGTTAAGGGTAAGGAGAAGGGCGACAAGAAAATCAGCAGCAGCAGCGGCGGCGACAGCAGTAACAGTAACAGTAACAGTAAGGATAAAAACAGTAAACGGGTAAGAGAGACTATGGTAGATAGTACAGAGAAGAAGAAAAGTAAGAAGGAGAATACAGAAGGAGACTTTGTGGTCTCTGCTTCATTTCCAGCAAGTGGTGCCTTTGACGATGACGATGATGATGAAGAGGAGCACTTCCATGATGTGGATGATGTGGATGAACCAGTAAAGTCCAATGCGGCCCGTCGCGGTGTAAAGAAGGGCAAATCAGGAGGATCAATGAAGCAGAAGGTGAAAAAGACGACAAAGGCTAAGAAATCATCCAAGTGAAGAGGTTCTATACTTTTCTCACTATGATGATTTCTCTTTCTTTATTCCTTCCTTCTCCAGGAATCGTCAGTTCGCCATGCCGCAGGAGGCATTAACTATATTTTATTCGGTGTGTTTAATGGAAGAAGTATTATTCGTGTAAAATTAAAAAAAGAAGAAAATACAAAAAAAATCCGAATTCAAAGAAAAAAAAGAAGAATGCGTGAAAATAGATTATCCTGGCTTGGTTTCGTAACCAATTCTAATTACAAAAAAAAAAAACTTGTATTCCCTTTAATATGAGATGTTATATACACATATGTATACATATATATATATATTTTTTTTTTTTCTCTTGGTTTCTGTTTCTATTTATCCTGCAGGAAAGAAATTTCTCTAGTGGTGGTGGGATTGCCTGGGTTAGTGTTATAATTTATAGAGTATATAGATACTGTTGATAGCAGTATTAAGGTGGTGTGTGCTGCCATATATATATATATATATATATATATATATATATATATTTGTTTATAAATAACATTAGTTAGGGAATGCCACCAGTAACGGGTCGCCCGGTTGGCAGGGCACCACAACCACACCCTATTATCCGCCGCACCCGTAGTTGGCGGGGTATCATGCAGGTTCGATTCAACGACACGCGTGCAGATCGAAACAAGATTGTCCAACAAGCCTTTTTTTGGGCTCCAATGAGAATATTTGGAATTTGTTTTGTAACAACGACAGTAATGTACTTTACATTGGGTCATGATCGATTTATGCACACTCTTTTTGGGTATGAGTCTGAGATGAATTATGAGGCTCGCGTAAACCCTGGAGCAAGTGTTATGTTTTCTGAAACAATGCTAGACAAGGATCGCGCCTGGAAATCACCCGTGAGAGATTTGGAAAAACCACTGCACCCGATACGACGATTTGATGTACTTCGTGATCCAAAATCTGCATAAGTGTGGTACCTCAAGCATACATACATACATACATACGCACAAACAAAACAAAGTAAGACAACATCAAAAAAAAAAAAAAATACATACATACATTTACCTCTCTTTTCCTATTATCGTTTTTACTATTATTATTATTATTATTTTTTTTTTCTTGCTCCTCCATGTGGTTTGCTACACTTGTGCAAATGATGTATACCCGAGTAAAAGGGAAAAGAAGAGGAAAAAGAAGGAAAGAAAACAAAAACAAAGAAACCCAAGATTCTATCACTGGTGGTTTTATTTCTTTTTATTATTTTTAATGGTTATTCTTTCTCTCGTTTTGTTACTCTTTCTTATATTGTTTAAAGCTTAAAGAGCATTAGCGCTCCTTGTAGTACGCAGGGTAAGGTAAACTCTAGATTGCGAACGAGTCATCAAAGGTTATACTCCCCACCCCCTTCCTTAAGTCATGACGGGACTCACTGAGGATGAGATCCGCGCCTCTCCGTTGTGGCAGCACATGAAGAAGGTCCTCCTGCACGTTGTGCAGCAGCAGCCGAGCCGGGCGCTGGATGCGATCGTCCCCGCCTCCTTCACCGTTCAGACCGGCGGGGCCGTCCCCCCGCGCGCCGCCCCCGCCTACGCGGACCACCACCCGAAAGTCGTCCAGACCGTCCCGCCGGATGCTTTGGAGAACTTGCGGTGGGCGTCGAGTTTCGCGTCGGCCCTCGCCCCCCCGCGGCCCCGGCGGCCGGCCCTCGACGCGGAGGAGGGCGACGCCCCGCCGCCCGAAGAGGCGGAGGAGTTGGACGCCCCGCCGGGTGAAGTGGGCGACGTCGTGGCGGAGCAGGCCGTCTTCAACGCCGTCGGCGAGGGACTGCAGCCGGAGGAGGCGTTCCGCGTCGTGGTGGGAATGAAGCAACTCGTACGGGGGGAACCACTCGCGAGTGTGCGCTTCTGGGGAAAGTTCATCGGCAGCCGCGCAGACTACTACGTCGTGGAGGCAAAGATAGATCCGGACCGTCTGCCAGAGGAGGATGAGGACGCCGCAGGGGACAACGACGATGAAGACGAAGATGAAGACGCCGCTCCCATTGAGAACGTCGCTAACGTTTTGTATGATCATGGCGCTAAGGCACACGCTGATACTGGAGTAGAGCCTGCTGGAACTGGTCTTAATGAGTGGGTCTACTATGCCGCAGTAACATCCGATCCTACCCGATGGACACGATTACCAGATGTAACACCAAATCAAATCATCGCCGCCCGTCTTATTCGACGTGGTTTTACAGGGGATTTGGAAAGTTCCGTTGACACGCACCCACGTTTCCCAGGAAAAGAGATGAATTATTTACGAGCACAAATTGCTCGTATCAGTTGCACCTGTCGTGTGGCACCGCGTGATATGTACACAACAGAAGGAGCTGTACCAGAAGAAGAAGACGAAGATGGAAATCTACTTCCTCCACCCCTTACTGTACCAGCCTATACCACCTTACCACCACTTAATCCACAAGAAGTACCAGATGAAGAAGATACAGAGGCTATTGAACCGGTAAAATCTTGGTTCTATGGATACCGCGATGATGAATTACTTCAAGGAAAATATTGGGTACACATTGCACCAACGCTTCTGCGGACTGGACGAACAGTCGCCTCGGAATCTGATGCTTCACAGGATGAAGGCGAAGGTGGTATCTCAGAATTTGATCAAACTGAAAAGATTAATCCATTCCTTTGCGAGGTCAGTCGAGATGAACCCTTGAGATTTACCTGTCACAGTCGTAGTCAACTTCCTGCATGGAGTTTTCGTAAAGCATTCCATGATGAGAGCAGTAAGACACGAACATATGTTGCTCGTTCAGGACTATGGCCTGGTGCTTTCACGTATGCAGTAACAGTCTTGGGCCAACCGGGAAGTCGCTACCAGAGTGTGTATATTGGTACAGGACTAAAGAATTTACAGGGTGTCTGCTATGCACCAAAACTCCCACCTCGTTGTCTTGTTGAATATCCTGAGACTGGTTTATTGCTACAACGAGATGGAACAGTGGATGACGAATTGGAGTACGCACCCCCACCGCCAAAGCCGGAAGGTCTTAATGATGAGGAAGAAGAGGAGGAAGATTAGAAATAAGTGGACGACAAGGAGGGAGTTAGATATTACACTACCCCTTCCCTTCCCTTCCCTTCCCTCCCTCCTTCCACTCTTTTGTCCTCCTTGTTTTTTTTCCTACTTTTGTCATTGAATCTTTCTTTTTTCCCGCTGAGTAACGATGCGTTTTTTTTTTGTTACTCTTTGATGTCTATAGCTATGAGAAGAGGAACTCACGGTTTACAACAGGTACACACAAGTACACACACACACATAAGCAACACTGGGCATACATATATGTATGTATATACATATTACAAAACGATGAAAGAAAGGAATTGCAATGCATCAGAAGTGATGTGTACATGTATGTTTTAAGTCTGTACCCTCTTGAAGAAAGCATGAAAAACCAAAAAAAAAAAATAAGAAATATTCAGGATTAATGTGTTTATGCAAATTTGTTTGAGGTTTCTGTGAAATAACATGTATTTCTTTTATTTTCTTTTTTTTTTTTGTTTTCCTGTTTTACTTCTATTACACAAGAAAAAAAGAGTGTGTTTAACATATACAAACACATTAACGAGAGTAGTAAATTTACAATTACTAAATACCTAATAATATTCTCAAGGGTAGAAAAAGAATAACAAACAACAACAACAACAAACAAAAGAAAAAAAAAAAATAGATGCATCCTACGTGCGACCTTCCGTTGAATCGTTCTCTGCCTCTTGTTTGCATATGTTCACTATTCAGTTTCCTCTGTGGTGTTGGTATTGGCGCAAATGATCTAAGTGCCAACTTCGCCATGGTAGTTGGAAGTGGATCACTTAATATGCGTAAAGCAATTGTTTATTGTACTCTGTTTGAACTCTTAGGTGCTGCTTTTATGGGTGGACATGTCAGTGGAACAATTCGTAATGGTATTGTTGATCCTATCTTATTTAGTAGAGATCGAGATATGGTATTGATTGGTATGACGTGTGCGACTTTTGCTGTTGCTCTCTGGTTGTACCTCTCAACTGTTTTTGGATTACCAGTCTCTATCACTCACACTGTAGTTGGATCTATTCTCGGATTTGCTATATTCTCCAGTGGATCCTTTGCATATGTACAATCACGTGGAATTGTTAAGATTGTAATTTCATGGCTTCTCGCTCCAATTGCAGCTGGAATTGTTACAAGTATTATATTTTACTATTTGCGAAAAAGAATTCTTAAGGTTAAGCGAGTGTCATTTCAAAATGCCTTATGGTCATTACCGTACTGTCTTGCCTTTTCATTGCTTATTGAACTCATGTTTCTCGTAATTGAAAAACCACCCATTCTTGCCGTAACCCTTGCTCAGTTTATGCCTCTTTGGGTACAATATATGCTTCTCTTTGTGGTTATTGTGGGATTTTGTTTTTTTTCCTCTGCAGTTCTTTTCCCTCGACTCGCAGAGGAAGCATGGCGACAGAATTCATTTGTTTGGGAATCCGATGTATTACGTACAGAAGTAGAAGCACAAGGTGCTAATAAAACTAAAATGACTAATACTAATATTACTGGAGATACTGCTGCTGCTGCTGCTGCTGCGGATGCTGCTGCTGTTGGTGTAGTTAGACCAACAATGGAGGATACGGCAGTAGAAGAGGAACCCCTGCGGTTTTCATTCGTTACAGCCACAGATCATTCAGCAACCACCACCACACATGATAATGTTTCTGAACGTGCAGATGAGTTATCACTACAAAAAAGTATTTCTACATTATTACATGGAACCTGTGAGTTTTTACAATCCTCTATAGGAGCAACAGATTTGAATTTATTACAACAACAGCGTCGTGTGCGAACCGCCCCAGTGGTACGTCGTTCACCGTTACCAGAACACATGCATGAGAGGGAGGATCCGCGTGGTTTAACATCCATGGTATCACTGACCTCCACACTAGTACCATCCGCAAGTAAACCCATCACCACTTCTTATGGTACTCTGGAAGAAAAGAGAAATGTAGAGGAGGAAGAGAGACCAGTCTCACCACTGGAGGAATCATCTCCCAGTGTAATAGGAGTGGATGATGAGTTTGCAGAACCAGATTGGGGATTAGATCATCCCATGCAACCCATACGTTTTGGTGGACTTCTCATTAAACCTTTTAATCCCCGAGCAGAGTATCTCTACACCGCATTGCAGGTAGTAGCGGGGAGTATGTCTAGTTTTGTCCACGGTGCTGTTGCTGGCGCTAATGCCACTGCCACCTTTGTGATTCTCTACCACGCCTTTGCTGTGGGGGAATTGAAGGAGGAAGATCCACTCGACTCGACTTGGGCTGTACTCCCAGCCATGTTGGGAATTGCCATTGGAATGTTCACACTGGGATCACGTCTCATGAAGACTGTTGGGGTGGAGTTGGTAACCGTCACGCCGGCCCGTGGTTGGTGTATACAAGTAGGCGGTACACTCGTCACGATGCTGCTCACGGGTATTGGTATTCCTGTTTCACTCTCGCAGGCACAAGTGGGCGCTGCGGTGGGATGTGGAGTATTGGATGCTCGTGCGAAAGGTGTGGCGTGGGGAATTGTGTTCAAGATTGTGTGTGGATGGCTAGTGACTCTGGTGATTAGCGCCGTCACAACAGGAGTGTCTATGCAGTTATTGGCTTCTTTCTACTGTATAGATCAGCGTTAGAGGAATGAAATAGCGCCCCAGATATGCAGTTCTCTCTCTCTCCATATATATATATATATGTATATGTATCTGTACATATATTGGTAGTGTTTTATGAGCCTTTGTATTTACTGGGTTTTTTTTTTTTTTTTAGTGTTTATTTTTCTCTGGGTACAGACGATAACGTATTGTTGCTTGTACCAACCGATAAATTTTATTTATTTATTATTATTTGAAATAGTAAGAGACTCTGGTGGGGGGTTGTTTCCTGCTCTACAGCAAAAAGAAAAACAAAAACAAAAGAACACACAAGAAGAATGAAAAAAGAAAAATTAAATATTGTTATGGTTACTATTATTACCATCAGTTTCCTTACTCGGATCGCTCGCTCTCGCTTACTCTTACATTTATTATTTCTTCTACATCATGTGTGGAAAGAAATTTAATGTATGTGTCTTTCTGTGTCTGTGTATATATATATATCAAGTCAAAGAAAGAAGCCTTTTTTTTTTTTTTTTGCTTCACTTCTGCATTCTTTTTTTCGGCTTCTGTAAAGATTGCTTTCAGTCTATAATTTCTTTCTTTCTTTCTTTTATTTTTTTTGTGTTTCTCTCTTTACTTTCACTTTCTCTCTCTCTCTGTTTGACATGTATTCTGCGCTTGGACAACAGACCATAAGTGGCAGAAAGAACAGAAAAAGACAAAACTCACACCTCATCACATAAACCAGAGAGAAAGAGAAAGAAAGAAAGAAAAAAGGGAATAATATTAATATCCCCTTTTCTCCATATCATAAAAAAAAAAAAAAAGGGAAAACATAAAAGAATAGAAGGAAGAAGAAATATTCTCCCCACCCCTTCAACATACATACATACCTACATACATACATACAAACAACCAACTACTATACCCCCGTTCTTAATTAACAACATTCTTTACATTCATCCAATGACGCCCGCCGCTGTGGGAAGTGGGCCGCGCACACGACTGCCGTTTCTCCGCAAAGTTGTGCAGAGTGCCACTCGCCGGCCAAACACACACAACACCGCCAATCCCTTTAAATTATACCCGCCCCTTCAATCCTCAGAGGAGAAACAGCGATTCAGTCAGGTACTGTATAAGGACCCACAGTGTATTATCGTGAATGATGCCTATCCCAAATCCAAACTGCATTGTCTCATCATGCCGTTAGATCTCTCTCTCGATTCCCTCAACGCACTGCGCAGCGAACACCTCCCACTCCTGCAGCATCTCTTAAATGTAGCGGAGGCGTACGTGCAGTTTATTCGCCGCGGGGCATCTGCAAAGGGAACTGCCGCTCTATCCATGATGACAGGATTTCACGCTCTCCCTTCACTACCACACTTACATCTCCATCTCATCTCAATGGACTTTGACTCACCATACTTGAAAACAAAGAAACATTACAATACATTCGCCACTCCCTTTTTTCTCCCAGCCGATCGTGTGATGGAGGATTTACAACAAAATGGATGTATTACACTTAATCAGAATGTCGCGGAGTTGAAAAGAATGGAGGAACAGGAAACATCTTGTCTTTGGTGTGGTCAGGCCGAGAATAGAATACCACAGCTGAAATTACACCTTCAAACATGTCCCAAAAGTCGTGCAGTTTTATCCACAACATCATCATCATCATCATCATCAAAAACAAGTTAAGTGTTCACAGTCAAAGGAACGAGTAAGCAAAGAGAAAAAAGAAGGAAGAAGAATAAAGAATAAAGAATAAAGAAAAAAAAAAAAAAAACGATGGATTTCTTATATTATGTTCACTTAAAGAGGTTTTTTTTTTGTTACCATTTGTTTGGTATTCTTCTTCCCCCTTTTCTTCTTCTTAGCAACTACTGCCTGGGATTACTACTATTATTCTTGAGTTTCTTAATTAGACTTTTTTGTTTTTGATTTCTTTCTTTCTCTTTCTCTTTCTTGGAGAGTGCATCTGTGTTATTTCTTTTTTTTTCTTTTCTTTTTTTTCTTTTAAATCTCAAAACACCTTTATATTTTTCACAGGTTTGCTCTCACGAAGAAAAACGAAAGGGGAAAACACGTTTGTGTGCTTTCGTGTTCCCTTTTTTTTTTTCTTTCTCTTTACTGCTATTACTCGCAGTCACAGAGGGAGTAAGTAAGTGGGAGTGGAAGTGGAATATACACATATATACACATATATACATTCATATACATTCATATATATACATACATATATACATTATCCAAAAAACTACACATCTATGCAGCCGCAGAGTTCCGTGTTCCGCCACCGTGCACGCATGCACGAATCTGCGGAAAGAGAAAACGCACGGGGCGGTGTTATTAGCGAAGCAACAGAGGAGGAGAATGACGAACTCATGCGTGCACTTCTGAGTGATGTGCGTACTGTGCGGCGTCAGTTCACAGCCATGGGGGCGGAGGTGCGGCGGCAGAATTCACTGTTAGATAGATTAGACTCTGTGTTCGCCCGCACACGAATGCAGCTTGGCCGCACACTGCGGCAGTTGGATGTGTCTGGTGTGACCAGTGTGAAGCATATGTGGGTGTTGTTTATCTTTGTCCTTGTTGTGTTTATGTTGATATACGTGATGTTAAAGTTTCGTTAAGGCGGAATGATGAAAGGAAGTGATAGTGGTTGGTATGAATGTATGTGTGTATGTGTATGTTTGGATTGATGATAATGATGGGGTGTTTGTGATCAGAGAGTCTATTATCATTGCAGGAATAGTTATCATTATTATTATCTTTTATTACTATTATCATCAAGATAAATGGATTTCCCATGGTGTGATTCAGTTAAGATCTATAGATGAACTTTTTTTCTTTTCTTTTCTTTCCTTTCTGATACGACTACAGGAATAATTAACCTGAGGGATTTAACCAGAAGGACAATTTAACAAAAAAAAAAAAAAAAACCCTAAGTAAAGACACGAATAGTAATTTAAGTAATAATAAAAATAATAACAATAATAATAACAATTCAACAACTCTACAACTCTACAACTCAACATTAGCAACCTCAACAACTGTTAACAATCATTGATTACAATAAAACAACAAGAATATTAGGATAAAGTAAAACGAAAAAAAAAAAAAAAAAACAAAGAAAAAGGAAAAAAGAAGGACAATATTGAT